TCATTTAGCTATATCTGCCTCTGGTCATGCTCCTATCATTCTGAAGACTAAAAATTCCAATTATAAGATATCTTATCATTTTCGTTTTTATAACATGTGGCTGCTTCATAACAATTTTATAGATTTTCTTAAAGATTGTTGGAAGACTCAGGAGATGGAACTGGGAGGTGTTTGGAAATATTCATTATGCTATTGAAAATCTGAAAAATAAAGTTAAGTCCTTGGAATTGGATTTAGCCAATCAAAGGATTGATTGGGAAGTCTTATTTCAAGGTCAACAGGAGTTGAACAATGCAATTTTGAAGGAGAAATGTTTCCTAGGTTAGAAAGCCAATAAGACTTTTTTTTTTGGAAGGGGATAGAAATTATGCTTATTTTCATCTTGTATTAAGAATAGGAGACGAAAAAATAATATTAGTACGATCAATTGCAGTAATGGTATTATCTTAAATAAACAGGAAGACATTTCCAAGGATGGCATTAGCTATTTTTCTAATATTTTCACTTCTGATGGAAGCTCCTTAAAAGCTATTAATACTGCCTTATACAATCCTTCGTCGGATGGTTTTGAGCAGAGTCTCACTTGTATTCCCAACACCCTGGAAATTAAGAATACTTTGGAGTCTTTGGAGGATGGGAAGGCAGTGGGACCCGATGGTTTCACTGCTAAATTTTACAAGAAAGGTTGGGAGATTATTCATCCAAAATTGGTTAATACAGTTTAGGATTTTTTTCGTGGGATGGATTTATCTCAATATTTTAAGTCTTCTAATATTGTTCTTATTCCCAAGGATAATGCTACTTCGACTTGGGATAAGTTTATACCTATCAGTATTAATACTGTAGTGTCTAAGATAATTTCAAAAATTATTGTTAACAGACTTCATCCTTTTCTTCATAATATCATTTCCAACAATCAATCTGCTTTCGTTAAAGGGAGGAATATTTGTGATAATGCTTTGACTGTTCAGGAACTTCTTATGGATTTTGATATGAAGAGTAGAGGGGGCAATGTGATTTTCAAGCTTGACATTAAGAAAGCCTTTAACACCATTTGATGGGAGTTTATTCTGGATGTACTGAAAGCTAATGGTTTTCCTCAGCATTTCTGCAACCTTATTCATAGAATTTTGAATAATAATTACTATTCTATTCTTATTAATGGTTATAAGTATGGTTTCTTTAAAGTCACCAAAGGAATCAAGCAAGGAGATCTGCTTTCTCCTTATTTTTTTATTATAGCTTTTGATTATATATCCAGATTTCTTAATCATGGTCATGCTGCCTACCCTACTTTAAACTATGTTCACAAAGGAAAAATTATTATATCGCATCTTTGCTTTGTTGATGATTTAATTGTTTTTACCAATGCTCATAAATTTTCTATCAAAAGAGTTTGGGGGATTATTGCTTTCTCCTTATTTTTTTATTATAGCTTTCGATTATATATCCAGATTTCTTAATCATGGTCATGCTGCCTACCCTACTTTAAACTATGTTCACAAAGGAAAAATTATTATATCGCATCTTTGCTTTGTTGATGATTTAATTGTTTTTACCAATGCTCATAAATTTTCTATCAAAAGAGTTTGGGGGATTATTCAGCATTTTCAGGATGTTTCAGGGCTTAGTTTCAATACTTCTATATACTATTATTATTGTTCTAAAAGGGTTTCCTCTAACACTAAGAACTGGATTTCTGATATTACGAATTATAAAAAAGCTTCACTTCCTTTACCTTATTTGGGTTTCGAACCAAAAAAGGGTCACAAAAGGTTTGCTTCTTGTTTGCATATGGTCGAAAAAATTAAGCAGAGGCTATTTTCTTGGGAAAATAAGTTTCTCTCGTATGGAGGTAGAATTACTATTCTTAAGAGTATACTTTACTCCTTGCCTCTTTATTCTTTACATGTTATGAATATTCATTAGTAAGTAGCTTGAAATGTTGTTTAATAAATTCCTTTGGGATGTTTTGGGTAAGAAAAATATACATTGGAGGAGTTGGCAGAAGTTGTGTAAGTCGTACGATAAGGGTGGTCTAAGTTTTAGAAGTATCCAGGACTCTATTAAAGTTAATTACATGAGGTTATGGTATTGGTTTCGACTGAACAATTCCTTATGGGTTTCTTTGATGAAGGCTAAGTATTGTGAGGATAAACATCTTTTAGCCATTTCTCTCTTGAAAAGAGATTCTTTCGTCTGAAAACTTTCTTTTTTTGGGATTTGGGTAATGGACAGTGCTCTTTTTGGTTTGATAATTGGTTGGGGCAAGGTGTTCTGGATGATCATTATGGTGGACCTTATGATATTAGTATTAATGTTGATCATTTCTGGATCAGGGATAGCTGGATGCTGGAGAAACTCTTGAGTAATGTTAATTTACAAGATGCTAAGTTCATTGCTTCGATTCCTATACCTAGGAATAGAAAGGATACTTTGATTATTAATAAAAAAAGTGGATGATTCTATCTTGAAATGCTTTTCTCAGTCTATTTCGGTTTCTCATGGCTTACGGTTGAAATGGATTTAAAATCATTGGTTAAAACCATCTATGTCTTTCTTTATATGGCGGGTTTTAAATAATTTGATTACTTCTGATGACATTCTTAAGATGAATGGATTAAGAATTTCATCACGTTGTATTCTTTGTAAGGATAAAGAGGAGTCCATTACTCATTTTTTTGAAGATTGCAATTTCATTACTGAAATCTGGGATAGTATGACTAAAAAGCTTATTAATATTGATAAGGACCACACTTTCCATTCTTTTACTGATTTGTTTCAGCGATGGAAACAGTTGGGCAAGGATTTTTATAGCACTATTCCTTGCATTTTCATGTGGTTTGTTTGGCTTACTAGAAATATGTATTGTTTAATGATGAGATACCCGATGTTCAACATACTATGGGTTTCATTTTTTGTTATTTGTGCAAGTCTTACTTCCTTAAAGTTTAAAGATAGGGACTGGACTTTACTTAAGGAAAAGTATCATAAGTTGGTTTTGCATAATATGATTGTTAGAAATTCTGTTAAGATTACTTAGTGTAAGCCACTTGCTCCGTGTTTTAAAATTAACACTGATGGCTGTTGGAAGTCGGATGCTGCGAGTATGGGAGGGGTTTGTCGAGATTTTACTAGTTTGATAGTTTGTTGGTTCTCTGCCTTAACATTCCCTATTTATGCGCTTACTGTAGAAGCAGATGCAGTGATTTTTGGCTTAATGGTTGCAAAAAAGTTAGGAATTTATAATATTATTATGGAAATGGACTCTTTGATTCTTTGGAAGTGTTGCAGGTGGAATAAAGAGGTGCATCGAAGTATTTTGTTGCAGATGAAGAGAATTCAAGCCTTATCTGAAAATATGAATGTTATTTGGACACATATTCGTAGAGATGAAAACTTTGTGGCTCACTGGGCTGCGAAGACTGGATATAATCTTTCTAAAGCTTCTGTTTTTTTTTTCACTTTTCCTGATGAATTGTTGGCTTTAGCCATTAGGGATCTCTCTTGATTTGTTTTCTGGTGTAGGGTGAGTTGTATTTTCTGTTTTTTTTATTATTATGGAACCTTTTTTCTTTATTTGTGTGTGTTGTTTAGGGCTTAGGTTGGGGTTCCTTATCCCTCTATCTTTGTATCTTTTTCTTGTGGCAATAAAATTGCAAGGGGAAGACCCCCACTTTGCAGAAAAAAAAAAAAGGTTACACATTTTATTTATAAAATTAGCACCCTCTTTACTTTTTTGTATTTTCAAAATCTAATTTAAATATTAAAACTCACAATTAAACATATTTCATATTTTCTTCATTTTTATCGAATTCATAATGAATTGACAGCGACACACGTAAATGTAACCTACGAAATTTCAAATGCTATATGCATGAAATTATCCCAAAATATTTTGGATGCATTGAAAGGCAATAAAACGTTTAGTGTTAGATATGAAAATTAGTTGTTTGAGTTAGGGGTGTTAATACTTGACCAGACACATCAACACAATTCGAACTCGTTTCGAAAGTAAGGGTAAGGGCTGACCTATATATTTTTCTTGTCAGGTTCTGGTCTGATAATTCAACACGTAAAAATTTCGGGTAAAAATCGGAACATACCCAAATAAAGACGAAAAAATTGATTGTACTCTTAACTCTTATACTATTGCTTGTTATATATAAACAATGATTTTTTTTTTAATTTACCTATTGTTATTTGTTAAATGTTAGAAATATAATATTTAATAAAAATTGAGCTAACAGTTTAAATGAGTTGGGTTCAGGTTAACCATGTCTGATATAGTCAGTTCGAGCCGGTCTTTTTTATGGGTTCATTTTTTTTCTAGAATTTGAATCTCACCAGCTGACCCGAATGGATATAGGTGATATGCGTGTTCAGGGAGGCCATTGATATAATTTAAAGAAGATTAGAGCATGGAAAACTAGGAAAGGGAAAGTCGAAATTGGGAAAAAATATTACATCAGTACTACGCACGTAGAGGAACGTGCGTACCCAATGAAATCACGCCACGATATCCCGCGCGACGTAGAAAAAAAACGGCGCAGTAACATGGGGAATATTCCTCCCCGTGTTATTCATGTGTTATTGTGTGTTATTCATGTGTTATTCATATGTTATTGTGTTATTATAACACCAGGAATATTCCCAGGATACAATAACACATGAATAACACACAATAACACTTGAATAACACGGGAAATATTCTCGACAGAGAAAAAACGGCGCAGTAACACGGGGGAATATTCTCTCCCGTGTTATTCTTGTGTTATTGTGTGTTATTCATGTGTTATTGTATCCTGAAAATATTCTTGGTGTTATAATAACACAATAACACATCAATAACGCGCAATAACACATGAATAACACAGGAGGGAATATTCCCCGTGTTACTGTGCCGTTTTTTTCGCTCTACCGCGCGAGATGTCGTGGCGTGTTACATCTTTATTTTTAGTAGTACTGGTGTAATATTTCTTTCAAAATCGGAGCAGAACATGATCCTTGCGGCGACTCCTCCGCCCCGCACACCCGCGGCGACTCCTCCGCCCCGAATCGCTGGATTCGGGCTTTCTCCTGCAACTTTCGAGGATACTAAATTCGTATCTTTCTCCAACTCTAAATGGAAGAAACGAGGGAATCCGTTCAGGATCTCTTGCGTTCCTAAGGATGGCGACAAAGGCCATCTTGAGGTAATCATCTGTACCCTGCTGTAATTTAACGATGTTTCGTAGCTCGATTGTGAATGGATTTTTGGCATGGGCCATTCTCTTATGCAATCCCGAAGTAGTAATTCTTTGTTATTATGAGATTGGTTTTGTGTTGGATGTTAAGTGGCTGCTTGGCTACAGATAAGTATTTGGTTTAAAGACTGCTAATTGTGGGTATTGTTTAGATTGAAGATTTATGATAAAGAAAAATGCATAAATCTGTTAATTCTTATGAATGGTGGCATTTCACTAATAATGAAATTGAAGTGCGATTTATCAAGTTAGTAGAATTTGGAATCTCCATAATTCTTTTTGGTTGGATTTAAGCTTGAATTTATCAAAAACAATCGGAGACCAAACTGCATTTAAGGTTTGTTGTGAAAGAGATGTAGTTGGCCACATCCCCTTGAGTGTTTCAATAAGACGTGGAGGCCGAGCCGTCAGACCCAATTCGTAGGCCCATAGTTACCTGCACCTTCTCTAATTGAGAGCTTTGGGCTTAAAAAGTAGATCCGTGTGAGGGACGAGGCGCTGTTATTAGAGTTAACTCTAACCATGATAGAAAAAATAAATATTATTCCTAAAACTAAATAAGCATTTATAACCAAACTCATTTGAAAAGGAATAACAACAAACACTACACAAACATATTCTAGGGCTCGATTCGTGGGTGGTGGAGTTCGGCTAGGTGGTCAGGAAGTGGTGGTAGGAGGTTGAAATGGGTTGTGAATTGTGGGTTGTTGGGACAGCAAAAGGAGGGGCTATAATTGTGTTGGCAGCGAAGCGGAAGGCCTAGAATGGCAGCGGCAGCAAAGTGGAGTGTTGTGATAGTGAGTGGCAGCGAAGCGGAAGGTTGTTGTCCTAGGAGGCTGCAGCAAGTGCGGGGGACTGGACAACGGCCGAAATAGTGGAGCGAAGGAGGGAACAATGGTGGCGGCAAAGGTGGAGGGCTGGACTGCGAGGGAAGTGAAGGGAGGTAGGGGAAGGCAATGGCAACGGCTGTAAATGCTATGGAGGAGTGGGGAAAGGATAAATACCCCCTTATAAACAAGCTACAGTCGGAGCACCACCTAGGATGAGTTGCAGCTGGAGCACCTTCTTGCGTTCGGATACAACCCTAACCCAGTAAATTTTGAAACACGAAGAAAAACTCACCTAAAACATCATGAATACAAATATATAATAAAATGATAACTAGTAGTGGCCAAAAAGAACCGGTCAACTCCTCAGATGTAAAACTCGAACCGATTTGTTGTCGGAGTTTACTTCTGATTGCAGAACGGGATCCCGCTTCTGCTTGCAAACCAACCACGTCATGGAGGGGAAAAAAATTGCCTACGTCAATCGTACTCAGAGATGTGTATGTAATAAGGTACACGGGCGTTATACGGGGGTTACATGGGGGTTATAAGCGTGTTATAACTTCCTTGTAACTTTCGTGTAACTGTGTAATGTAACTTTCGTGTAACTCACCTGCAACCCGCGTTTTTATTTTATCCATTGGGGTTACAAGATTACAGCGAGGTTACACGGGAGTTATAAGGGAGGTACAACGGGGTTATAACCTTTTGTAATCCCCGTGTAACCCCTGTGTACCCTTTTACGTACGTAACTCTGCGTACGCTCCCGCGTCAGGTGTTTTATGCATCTTGGATATATGGCCAAAGTTGCTGCCAACAATTACAACTTGGCCTCAATTTAATGATTTCAATTGCAATGGATATGATACTATTTTTTCTCCATAATATTAAAACATATCATTTAAATATAATGTATTTCAAATATTAAAAGGTATTTGGTTTTTTGTAAAATAATTTTATGAGATCATTATCTTATGTTTGGTCGGATGTAAAACTAATCTAAATTTTAAAAAAAGAAACAAATGTAAGGCATGACAATAGGGTAATTGATAAGAATCAAAGATAGTACATAATGATGGGGGTTATGTGGAGAGTCAGAGTTTGCGTTATGTTGCGGAGAGGGACAGAGGTGTTCAAGTGAGATCAGCAAGGCAGAGAGGTGCCTTGAAAAAGACACTGCAGCGTGCGGGTTTTGAGCAAGAGGCGATTGAGGATCACGAGCGGCAAGCAGCTATCAAGCAATTGAGCTAGCGAGCGAATAGAGGCACATGCAATGGTCTCAAGATGTGGCGTATTTAGAATTCACTAGGATACATTGTCTTTGATTTTTCTTCCAATCAAAACACTTAAACTTTTAAAACGTCTGCATTTGCTTTATTCTACGTTCCTAAGATATCCAAATCAAACAACCCTTTAATCATTTTGACTTCATAATTGATTTTCAAACTAATGGCAGGGCTTTTCATTGCTTTCCAAGGATTTTCCATGGGAAGTTGAAAGCACATGGAGCACCTTTGCTGTTTACTTCTTTAGTTTACATGTTCCTTTAAGCTTTGGAATATTACCAATGATTGCCCGCGCACTGCAACAGTCTTTCCATGATCCATTACTAACGGTAAGTTGCAAGCTGTTCTACTTTCAAGTTTATCGTAAGAACTGGAAATGTTGTCCTTGCTCCATTCATTCACGAACTTTTAATCTCATTTTTGTTGTTGTTTCTTTTTTCCCCTCCTTTTTTTTATTTTTCAAAATTGTTGAAAGTGACAATCTGCGGTATGCGCCCATGCTTTGACATGAGTACAAGAACTTCACCAACTCTTTTATACCCTCATAATGATTTTAATAATATTTCATAATGTTAATGGCTCAAAAATTAATTCGAAAACTAAGATTATTAAGCTTAATTAAATCTTACCTGTTGCAGGCTGTATCAGCACTTACATTGCAGGGAACAGAATTGACTGGGTTCCTATCATTGTTGTATTATACAGCAAACAACAGAAACAAGCTTCCTAGTTTTTTTCTTGGAACTTCCTATCCAGTGCAGAGGAACTGGTTAAAAGTGTCTGCTTCAGGAATTGGATTTTTGATTTTGCTGGTGTTGCTTACATCCAGAATCGCTGACGAAATTATTGAACCCAAGGTAAGTTAGGTTGATAGTTTTATGCTGAAAAGTTTTCAATTCTCTCGTTGAATTCCATCAAGGATTTCTTTTTGGGCGTATCCTGCTATCTGAGCAGACTATCCTCTTATTGATATACAAAATAAGATATTCATAGAGCTAACTTACAATTGAAAACAGTGACACATGGCGTACTAGACTAGATATTTCTTTCCATTCAATTGCATACCATACATGAAAATAGATTTCATATAAGATATCATTTTATGAAATAAGTACCCTCTATCCATGTGGAAAGGCAATATGGAAAAGATACGTCACTTTGTTCATGAGAAAAAACTATGATTGTAAAAATATATCATAGGGAAAACAATGATATCAGTATAGAATAATATTTTCAATTTTGTATGTGATGAATGCTATGTTCTAACTACTAGTCAGCTCTAAAAGCCGATCAGTCTCTTTAGTTCACTCAGCTCGAAACACTTGAGTTTGCTCAAAGAAAAGCTTAGAGCCGAAGTGTCTCCCGCAGAATGGATAAACATTTTCTAAGGCTCAATTCGGCAAGCATTATAGATGTATTAGTCGACTCATCGGAGATGTAGGATAAGAACATTAGTCATATCTACTTTGAATAGGATGTTTGACCTATCTACCAAGGTGGCATAAAAAATAAAAAATAAAATAAAATAAAAATCTACCAAGGTGGCATATTTAACTAGATATAACTAATGTTCTTAAATCGCCAATGGAGTGAGTTATTTTTTATGCAGAAAGCAAACCCAACAAAGTTGTTATAAATAGAATGTACACTTAACAAAAAAAAAAAGCTTCTTAAAAGATTCCAAACTAGAAGAGTATAAACTAATGGAAACAGACTTCCTTCTTTCTCCTGGCAATGACACCCCTCTCTTTCTTTCATCCTTATCTAACATTACTTTCAATTAGCTGAACCAACTAGGCTTCTCCCTTTTTTCTTTCATCCTAAATTTGAATGATATCATTTTCGATACTTTTTATGACATGTTGCAGGATGAGGAAAACTTTATGAGCAAGGTGAGACCAGGGAGACCTTTATCCAGTATGATAATGTTTCTTAGCAAGTTGCTACTATGAAACAATCAACAACAGCTGAGATCATGACTAGAAGTTTAATGAGCTAAACTCAATGCTTGACAAGATGGCTTGTTTTATGATGAGGAATCAGGCACTACCATGGTTGACCATTAAAAAATCCTAAAGTATGATTGAAAGTGAAAGCAATAAATCTAACGTAGGCTAGTGTTTCATAGGCGTCTATGTCAATTCGCCAAGAAGAGAACAATCAAGGAATGTCCTCAGTGGGTCGTAGGGCGTCTCCCTATAATAACTGGCTTGAAGACTCAATAAATCTACCTCATTAAGATCTGTGAACCCAATGAGATACTTGTTGCCTTAAATTGTATTTCGTAGAGACTGATCAACTCAAAATTAACTTAATCAAATATTAATCGGCTCAAATTTTACTGAATCAAGACCCCAATGAGATACTTGTTGCCTTAAATTATATTTCGTAGAGACTGATCAACTCAAAATTAACTTGATAAAATATTAATCGGCTCAAATTTTACTGAATCAAGACAGGTCAAATTTGTTAAACATTGATTAGCTCAATTTTTATTGATCAAGGCTAGTTAACGTTACTATGACATGATGAACATTTGCTTAGCTAAAAAATTAGCGCGAGCAATCTTAATCAACCTTATTTTACCAAGATGACGTGTAGTCAAACACAGTCATTTCTGTCAACCTAGTGGGCTCAATCAACCTTGGTCAGTCCTAATCAGTCAATCCTTGCTTGATTGACTGTTGTTGGGCCACTTTGTCTTTTTCAGTGCACGATTAAGGTGGGACCCACACCAGGTTAATGGTGTCCATGGCATTTTAGATTATGAGAGCATGAAAGTGTATGTTAAATGGTGCAAAAATTAGGCTAGATACATATACAAGTTGTTCATTACTAGACTAGCCTTGGGGCAGTGGGTTTTTTATTGCGTGCTTGAGGGAAAGTCCTTTGTCCTGTAATTTTAGTCAATTAATAGGCTAAACCTGAGCGTCAACTCATTTCTAATCTATTTAAAAGTTAATTTTATTATAAATTAGCATGGAAAGCTCTAAAATATGTTTGCATTGGCTGAGAAGGCATGGGAGGCATTAGTCCCACATCTATTAAATTGGATAATTTTCTCGTGAATTATGATATTTGGGTTGAAATTTGACAAATTGAATTAAGAGGGTTTTAATCTTGTAAAGTTAGAATTTTTCTATAAAAATCTCAATATCTAAAAAAATTTTGATGTTCAGCTCATAGCCTGAGAAGTTCTTCTATGATCATGGAATGAATGTGTGTGTGTGTGTAATTTCTTCAACTAGCCAAGATAGTTACTTTGCCTTATAATTTGGGCGCTTATAATAATAAAATTAAAAAAAAAAAACTTTTTTTAATCACTAAAGGGTTGGAGCAACAATCTCAATGACTAGTTATAAGTAGGCAACCACAATTCCTACAGGAGAAAGAACAAAGCCAACATATCAAAGTTAAAAAATGAAACTGAATTAATTCATATCATTAAAATTCATTACAAACTAGCATATTAATAAAATTTAAAAGTTATGATGTACCCATAAAAAATATTCTATTAAACAAATGAATATTACCTAGAAAATTGCTATAGTAAATCCTAACTATATTATTTTCAGTTTTTGGATCTGCACATGCATTTTCATTCATTACTCCGCAATTCCTTTGTTATTTTCTTTTCTTGGTGCATTAATGTTGTATAAACCGTACTTACTTGACCAATGACATGGATCTGATTGTATTTTCTGTGCTCAGAGAACTTACTATTGATCCTTTATATTGAACTATAACATTTAAAAGTTTTCAAAGAAAAAATAAATATATGAAGGCATTGAAGCAGCTGTAGCTAATGCCCAGAAAACTGTTGGGAGCTCTTACCAATTGCTCCATTTGATAAAATTCTTCTTCACGCTGAAATTACTTGCTTTTTCCCCCATGCAGGGTTTCAACAATCCAATTCTGAAGGAGATTCTTCTATATAGCCCAATATCTAAGACAACTTGTTTCATTCTCTACTGCTTTGTGACTCCATTGCTAGAAGAAATTGTTTATCGGGGATTTTTATTAACTTCTATTGCATCTCAAGGGAAACTCTGGCAAGCAATCTGCATCAGTTCTCTTGCTTTCAGTTTAGCCCATTTTTCTTTGGAGAACTTTCTTCAGCTCTTCATTATTGGTTATGTTCTTGGATCTGTTTACTCTTGGAGTGGCAAACTGGTTGCTTCTGTTACTGTACATTCTGTATATAATTTTATTATCTTGATATTTGTTAGTGTCTCCTAGATATAAATTTAAATTGAATATCTTTTTATTTTTTAAAACTGTTTTTCTCTCATTTATAGCTTATTACTAGGAGCTGGGCAGTAATGTATATATGATATTGTTGTTTTATTTAATGGAATTTTTTAGGGTATATTTTTAGTTTTAAGCTTTATTAATATGCTAGTTTGTAGTGATTTGTGATCTTATGAATTAATGTAGTTTCATTTTTTAACTATGATCTGTTGGCTTTGATCCTTGTCAATTAGGAAGTATAGTGGCCTACTTATCACTAGTCATTATGGAGTCTTCTTTGTTGTCTCCAATTCCTTGGTGGAAAAAAAAAAGTTAATTTATTTTTGGAATTATATTTTTATTCCATTCAATAATCGTAGGATAACTTTTCAGGCTGAGCTTCCCAGCATTTTTAGATTTTGATCTTTTTATAGAAAATTTCTAATTTTTGGAATTATATTTTTATTCCATCCAATGATCGTAGGATAACTTTTCAGGCTGAGCTTCCCAGTATTTTTAGATTTTGATCTTTTTATAGAAAATTTCTAAGTGTATAAACATATAAGTCAAAGAGTATACAAGGAAGAATATTAATTCTTATAAATAAATAAATATAAATTTTAAGCAATACAAGAGATTTTTTGAAGTTCATGAAATTTTCCCTTATATTAAATCTAATTAATTAATTTGAGTAATATGTTACTAAGAATTGATAGAAAAAAAAAACAGATAGAAATAAAACAAATATTGATATTTATGGTCATTTAAGTGTTACTTTTTCTTTGAAAAAATATTACCTCAGAAGTACTGATGCATCAGTACTCCTGAGATAATATTTTTTCCTTTTTCTTTATTGATGCATCAGTACTACTGATGCATCAGTACTCCAATGGGGAGGTGTCACTTTTCTTTTTGGTTTTTTTTTATTATGCTCATGCAATTACAAATTAAAGAATTTAGTGTTCCTTTATTTTATTTTATGCATTGAGCAAATGGCACAAATAAATTTGGTATTAGAGATTAAGTTTTTAAAAAACTACTATATAAATATTAAAATAACTTTTTCCCAGCAAAAGTAACTATATGAACATAAATTGACATAAATCATTGTTGTCATAAATTAATAAGAAAACAAAAAAAAAAAAAAGTAGCTAAGAAATGAATGTTGTAGCTAAGAAATGAATGTTAAAAGTAGCTAAGAAATGAATGTTAAAATTTATTCATGTATATGTCGGTCAATCTTCATAATTTATATTCAATTTTGTTTAATTGAATATGCAACTGAATATTTATTTGTAGATTATTTACTCATGTTTATAGAATGTTAATTTCTATATTAAATCATATACTTTTCAGTTTAAACGCATACTTGCTTGGTCATACAGATGTTGATTGAATGATATAATGATCAGCTTTTCTTACCATTTTAAACAACAATACGAAAACAAACTAAATGAACAAATCCAAGTTTCTGCCACTATTACTGACACAAATAACATAATAATTCTAGGCAAAACTCTAATTCTGATGCTTAATGCACACCATCACCATCAAGTGCAGGCAAACACCTCTCAATAATGTCAGCTGCTTGTTTCAGCTCCTCTTCAGATATAATCAATGGTGGAACTAACCTCACCACATTCCCTTTCCCAGCCGTCAGCACCAGAAGTCCCAGCAACCTACACGCGTCGACTAACGGCGAAGCAGGCACGTCTAACTCAATGCCAACAATGAGCCCAACACCGCGCACTTCCTTGACATGAGACTTTGCTCCCAGCTTTTGAATGAGTAGTTCTTTGAAGAAAGTGCCCTTGTTGGCAACAGCTGACAAGAAGCTGGGCTCCTTTATCTTCTTCAGAACTGTGAGTGCTGCATGGCACACGAGGGGACTGCCGGCAAAAGTGCTACCGTGGTCACCATAGTTTATTGCAGCAGCAACTTTTTCAGTTGTGAGTGCAATGCCGATCGGGAGGCCTCCGGCAAGAGGCTTGGCGAGGGTCATTATGTCAGGAACAACACCGTAGCGTTCGTGTGCCCAGAGATGGCCTGTTCGCCCAAGTCCACATTGAACCTGAATAATCACAACAGAACTTTGATTTGGTCGGCTGTCATCATGCAATTGAATGGAAGATACACAGTATGAGAGAATAATAAGTATCAGAGATTATTTCCAAGTTCTTTGGGGGTCTGTTAAAACGTGTAAAATTTGCAAGAGATGATGGATTATCAAATTGCACCACTCGAGCTGAAATATTTTGTTTTTATTTTTTCTTTTTATTTTTTTGAAAAGATGTATGGTTGGTATAATTTTTATATATTTTTATCTTTTGTTTTAAAAAACAAATCAGCTTGTAATTAAAAGCACTGAAAACGTCTAAAAGATACTTTGAATATTTTTTAAAACATCTAACTTAATCAAAACATATTTTAATTTAAATCAAAACTTAAACAAATTAAAATTAAAACAAAAAATAAGAGTGATCCCAAACGCATGTTCTATATTTTTTCCTTATTCTAGCCAAACAAAATTTAAATAGGTGGATTATGGGGATCAAAGACAGATGATCGAAGGAACATGTCAGTTCATACCAAGGATAACCAAGAGAAATAAAAAACCTTCATCTTATCCCCAAGTGCAAGTTCTGGTAGAAGAGTTTGGATCAAAGTGAATCAAAGTTGGGTCTGAAGCACTAGCAATTAAATCATTCTCAACTCCAAAGCTTATGCTATGGATGAGAATCAACCATTGCTGCCTACACGCCAACATATTTTTTTAACCTTTCAATATGGAATTATATTTGTCATTTCACTAATTAAAAAGAAAATACAATTAACATAAAAAATAGGTTTAGCAAAACTTATCCGGTAAATGTTAAAAAGTATTCAGGAAAAAAATTGTTACCATGTTTTTAGCCTGTTCTAATCTAATGAATCATTCTTTTATTATGATAGCTGCGAGTTTAAAATCAGTATTTGCCCTCTTTTGAGTCAGATATCAATCTATTCATAAAACAATATAAAATAAATCTGATATCTAGAGTAGTTTGACTTATTATCAGCTTATTGATTTTAAGAATTATAATAATATAATGTAGCAAAAAAATGCCAAAAAAAACCTAAAGCTACAACTTCTGGGCAGTTATTTCCCAAAACTAAGTTCTATGACATCAACTCCTTTGCCTAATTCCATTGTATTACAAATGAAATACATAGCAAGCTTTTTCTCTGCATCAACCATTCTTAAAACAACGTCTATAGTACAAGACATACTTAACCATAACCTATCCCTGAAAATAATTTAAATAACTTTCCTAACTTTTTGGCCTTTATGTTTCTTAGACTATGTACAAATTAACCATTGTGTAAAGATGAGCGTAGCCTCTAAAAATTATCTTTCTTGCAGGATGCTTTATAGAATCAAGGGTGTTATAGCAGATCTAATTGTTGCCAACCGTGAAAGTTCTTTCTCAGGAAACATTTTCATTAAAGTCAAAACAAAAGTATAATTGTAGATAAACTTTCTAATCTTTTGGCTTTGGTTAAGACATTCCTATGCTAAAACAAATCAAAGTTTTTTCTATAATTATGCCTAAGAAATATTTCACATGTCGAGTTCAATACGTATGATTCCTCTTCTCCATGAATTTATTTATTGTCACCCTATAAGCACTAGTATTTTCAAAAATAATTTGGACCACTAAATGCTCTTCAAGATCCTTTACGAGTCTATCTAAATCCTTCAGCTAATGTTATGCTTTAACAGACTTCAGAAAAAAGTATCATAGAGATTGCTAATTAAAATGTTGATCAAGCTCATATTTTTAATATTCGATCAATCATCAGCATATTATACTAACTTCAACCTATGCCCAAATTCTTTTGATCACCTCAATGATGTTCTCAATGCTATTTAATTCATCCTTTAAAATCCAAGCCCTGAGCTCATACATGATAAGAGGTTTAAAGCCCTCAACCAAAATATCACATGGGACTGATCATGTTTATATAAGATAGGGACATTATCACATTAAATACTATCCTTTACATATAAGAATCTTCTAATATCCATACAAACACACCTGTGAGTCTCTTGTATTCTAAGACGACATCCAATGGCCCCTACTTTCATGCCATCATATTTTTTATTCTCCACATTCATGGTGTACTGATTTATAAGTCCTTTTGCCATGCTTCGACAGAATGTTTTCATGCAAGCATGAATCTCTTTTTTCACCTCCTCAAACACCTTGGCGCATAATGCAATATTCTTGTAATAAATCAGAAATATGTTATTTCATTCTGGTTATAACACCTATAACAATTTAATAACAGCAGTTGCACTTCAAATAGATGTACATATTATTACTCTTTTCAAGTTGCAATACACAGTATGTTTTCATGCAAGGACTTTTCTATTTTCCATTAAACTTTTCTCATTGCCTCTAGCAACTAAAAAAAAAGTCCTAAAATAAAAAAACTTAATTAAAAGAAAGTTATAAAATACAAAAGTTTTAAACAAAAATAAAAAAATCTAAAACAAACGAAGAAAAACTTTTAAGTTGAAAAAAGAAAAGAATAATGAGATATAGTGGAGGAAAAAGAGTTATTGGGGAAGAAGGTTTGGCAAAGAGATTGCAGTGGCAGCAGCGGTGCAACAACAAGAATGCTTTGATCCAGAAACGATGGTGTTAGCATGCATACAAGACCAAAGTAGTTGGTGTCGAAGAGAGGAACAAAGCAAATGCCTTAGATGGAGTTTTTATTGGATAAAATGATAAAATAGAGTTTTAAGAATATGTATTATTCATAATTTTTTTTAGAATACCTCACCTTGTTAGGACTTATAATAAAAAATAATTTATTCCTGTGAGAAATTATGATGAAAATTTTTTTTCTTGAATTGGGAGTTATTTCATTTCCTATTTTATATTTATTTCATCGGATTACGAGTTAGATCCTTTCCTATTTTATAGAGATATTAGGAGTTATAGCTTTCATTTCATATTATTTCATTTTTATTGTTTTTCCTATTGTAGGATTCATGTAAGAGTTATTTATGCCCATTTTTTACATCAATGAAATAACTCAATTTATTCTGCATTATTTTGAATTTCAACATGATATCAGAGCCAAACTTCATACCCTAGCCATCGGTCCTCCTTCCAGAGCCAGCCATACTCCCTTACTGCCATCGTCCTCACATGAAGGGAGGGACTCCTCTCCATCCAGAACCTCGCCGCCCGAAGAGATCCCTGTAGATACTTATGAGCATCGCCTCCTTACTCGCTCGTGGCCACGAACTGCGTACAACGGGTTTGAGAGCTATTCTATTTCTCCACCTTTCATCTCTGAACTAAGTTTTTCAAAGCTTTCCAAAGCTTCTTCCAAGTTCGAGCAGCCTTCATCTTCATTGGCTGAAGTTTGAATCACGCTGCTCTACTATAGCTTGATTCGGTTGCATTTGTGAAACGGTTGTTAGGGGCTGAAGTAAAGCGATCCGATTCAACAATAGCAAGAGAAATAAAAAAGTTTAATTGATAATTTCGGCTTCAAAGGAGCAAGAGCAGACAATGTGTTCGAGGTGCCATCGTCTTCAACAGTTTGAGGCACCATAGCATCTTCGAAAATTTGACTTTGACATACGGTTCGAAGCGAAGCAGAAATAGATGTTGGTGTTTGAGAGTTTGAGGAACCCAATCCTCGACTTCGGTTCGATTTCGATATAGAGTTCGAACCGAAGCAACACAGACATTGATGTTCGAGGGTTTATGAAGCGCCCAACCATCGTCTTCAACGGTTTGACCTAGAGTTTGAAGGAGCAGGTTTTTCCTTCGACCTCTGCATCGAATTCAAAGGAGCAGCTTTTTTGAAGTGTGCGGTCTATAATCTATTGAAGTAGGTTAGTGCTTTCAAAGATTAGTAATTGTGTGAGATGGAACGAGGAAAACTTGCATGAGAATAAATCAAATAAATCGATGAGGCACAAGAGCCCGAGTATCCATACCACCCCATGATTGATGAAGATGGTTCTTCATCACCGAGATGTGCTTTGATGGATCTATAGACGTTGAGGATGTTGCAAATGCTTTGCCTCATGTGGCTTCATCGAATAATACAATTTCTAGGAATGAAGGATGGACTTTATCTGAAAAATAAGTGATGCTATATCAAGTTGTTTCGTGCAGCAGACCCTCCTCCGGAATCTTTCCTGCAGCAAACCCTCCCGCCAGAGAAATCTCGGAAAGGGGGAGCAATTTTTATCAGTTGTCTTCCCTCCAAACTGATAAAAATTGCATCACTTAAATGAGAGAGGATGACCCCTTTTTCCCTGTCATCCTTCCCGCTGTTTTTTTGTTGCGCTGTTCCCTACAGCATATAGACGTTGAGGATGTTGCAAATGCTTTGCCTCATGTGGCTTCATCGAATAATACAATTTCTAGGAATGAAGGATGGACTTTATCTGAAAAATAAGTGATGCTATATCAAGTTGTTTCGTGCAGCAGACCCTCCTCCGGAATCTTTCCTGCAGCAAACCCTCCCGCCAGAGAAATCTCGGAAAGGGGGAGCAATTTTTATCAGTTGTCTTCCCTCCAAACTGATAAAAATTGCATCACTTAAATGAGAGAGGATGACCCCTTTTTCCCTGTCATCCTTCCCGCTGTTTTTTTGTTGCGTTGTTCCCTAACTGCACAGCAGTACTGCACAGCAGTTTGGCTTCCTGGTTTTCAACAGTCCGGCTTTCTTGGTTTCTAGCAAATTTATAGCAGTCCGGCTTCCCTAACTTTCTGCAGGTTCTTACTACTGGAGGTGCAGTTGTTCCGCCACCTTTTTTGCAAGTCATTCGCGCTATTATTTGGCACATTTTCCCTGCAATAGTCCAATTTTCTAGTTTCCAGCAATCTGGTTTTCCTAATTCCCTAAGTTACTTGCTTGGTGTCGCCACTCTGGCTTCCATTTGCGATAGTGAGGACATTGGGAGGATATATGACCAGGCATGAGGAGCGTCCAGTGATGGCCTCAGACCAACTTTCTATACAGTCAATGCAGTGGTTTATTTAGTGCATGTGTTTT